ATCTATAGCATGGCCAATCTTTAAAATTCTCTGATAAAATGGAAGTAAGCACTCTCGATAACTTATAACTTTTGAGAACTAAGAAAATGCAACACCTACTCCCTCTGCCTATCCTCCCTAGTTTCGCACGATGTTCTTCGAACATTATAAAAATTTTCTCTCATGCGCTCCAAGATGATAGAAACAATCTCCAAGAACTCATCATTCAATAAAAGTTCCAATAACTATACCTGTTCCAGACGGCACCTCATATTCCTGGAATATGCCTACTACATCTAATTTTCCAATGAATATATTGCATTATTCCTGAAATATTCCATGAATATGTGCCTAATCTAATATCCTCAAAGAATATTCCTGGAATATATTTTTCGAATATTCATTAGATATCCCCAAAGAATATTCCCTGAATATGTTTCTCGAATATCCATCAGATATGCTTTAAGTAAATTCCAGGAATATTTCAAAAGCAGATTGTCGGAATGTCGACCTATCCGGAATGAACACGCGTCTGTCGGTCATCGCCTTCTGTTCCACATTCCACAGTCACCTAGTGAAGGACGTGATAACAACATGGACGCGAATATGCTGCGATTGTTTTTATCATAAACAGACGAGAAGAACATGGAATTATTAGTTTGAGCAGAAGTGCTAGAATGTATATCGATTACTGTGAATAGTGTTGACATCATTATAAAGTTCCAGACGTTTGAAGTTAGTTACAATAGAAAAATGGAACATTAACTTAGGATGCATTTCTCTTTTGACCGCCATTGTACTGAAGAGGATCACAAGGAGACTTAATGGCACTCAATACCAATATCTGTGGGTATACCTAAGATTATTCATTAATGAATTCATATACAGAGTGTATCTATACAACATCGAAAAAATGTAAGGGGTGATTCTGTGATGAGAATGAAGGTATTTGGTATACAATTTTTTGATAACCCTCTCAACCCCGGATAAGTTACACACATCTGGAGATTGAAAAAAAAAATGGTAAAAAAAATAAATTAATAAATAAATCTCAGGCGTTGAATACTTTAAGCCCTTCTAAGCATACTTCAGGGTTGAGAACATTAGAAAATGGGTAATTTTATTGATGAATACTATTTACAAGTTCTGTGCCTTCAGTAATATAGAGAGAAAATAAAAGAGGAAAACCATTTCTCTAATTTTGAGAAGGGTGTAACTATTCCGGAAAGAGATTTTTCAAGAAAATACCAAACCACTTGAAATTTCTTTCTGTTATTTAGATACACCCTGTAGATGCACCTCATTTTTGTCAGTACTCACCTATATCTACCCATTTGTCAGATGGAAAATCCAGGATATATTCGTGTTGTTGAAGATACAAACGTGACGAAGAAATAAACAATCGATGGAAATCTGCTGATTCTCAGATGTTGACAAATTCAGTATACAGTTCTTCCAACTTTTGAAGCAAGCCCAGAGCAAAGGTGAGTGAATTCAATCAATTTTTATATCATAGTATTTGCTATGTTATAATCATTGCAGATCCTGTTGAATTCATTACCGCTACCAGTCAAGAGAAGAAGAAAGTCATTTGATATGATAATATATAAAGTGCAAGCTTCAAGTATTTCACAAATCTACATCCTGTATGTTGATTTCTATCTTTTACATAATAAATTACATTTCATATGGATATTTCATTCTAGTAATGATAGAGAAGCATATTCTATGCATATACAAAAAACATATTCCTAGTATATGAGGTGTTTTCCGAAATAATTTAATACAACTCCAGTCTATGCAAAACAAACTTTTGAAAATAATATTCAAAAAAAACAGACTTCATTCAACTGTACAGTTATATAAACAACTAGATATACTTGATGTTAGAAGCCTATATTCCTATCAATGCCTAGAATGGATGTTTCAAAATGCAAATCGTTTTAATCAGCCATTGGAGGTCATAAAAAAAAATACCAGAGCAATGCAAAATCTCACCCTCAATACACCATTATTCAGAAAAAGCCACACTCAAAGGTATATCTACTATTTCGGACCTAAACTATATAATCTCTTACCACCCGAAATGAAAACAATAACAAATTTCAATAAATACAAAAAACAAATTAAAAACTTCGTCCAAATAAATTCAACTCTAATCTACAAAACATTACATTAATTGATTCTCTTTTAGTACTCACCAAATCTCACGAATATGTCATTCATCAAAATTCTAAGCAAATAACCTAATATATTTCGCTAATTATACTACAATCGCCAAATATGAAAGTTGTACAATTAGAATGCTTCTTGCGGATGAAGGACTAGTACAACACAAGCATGCAGCATGCTTAGGTGCAGTCTTATGATCCAAAAGAAACACCAAGATTTGTAATATGTTATCAATATTATCTGTACACTTTATTTTCTGAATAAATTGAATTGAATTGAATTGAAAAAAATTGAATATGTCACCAATATCTTTTGGAAGATTCACAGATATTCCTGGCATATGTTTCATGGTGACTTTGAATATTCCTGGAATATGCATATCACATGTTTTGGAGGACATGGAATATCCATGGCATATGCCATTATTCCAACGCAATATGCATAGGATATTCATGGATTATGATTGTGCCGTCTGAGTGTACTGCTTATCCTTCTACTGTGACCTTTATTTTATAAGAAAAATAAATGCACTTGCAAACGGCAGCTTTTCACCGGTAGGCACTATGGGTTCTATTCAAAAGCAAGTAAAATTCATACTACACAATATTCATTTAGATTAGTACAGTAAACAAAAAAGAGAGGGCGCCACAGCAACTTTTAAGTATGAGATGAAATTATTATATGGATAGTTGTGCAACCAAATAACACTCAAAGATGTTAGTCCAGCTAAAATAAATACACTGTAGGATGTTATAAAGAGTAGAGTAGTTGACCCAAATTCAATAAATAAATAAAAATCAGTCATTAAAACAAATAGGTTTATTACTCATGGTGGTGCAGGGGATGAAAATACACTCAGTGTAATGCAAGTAAAATAAGTCACAGAATATTAGATCCATATGCAGTCATAATAAATAAAATAAATAAATCATTACTTTCATGATACCATAACTTCAATATCATCTTTATACAGGGTGTCCCTAAAAGGTGCGGAAAAAAAGCTACCACAAGTTCCTGAGGCGTGAATATGACGATCTAACTCAACTTACCTCAGTCCAAAAGTTATTATTATTACTATTATTTCAGAGATACAGAGTGTCAAAAGTTCAATTCGATTTTCATTTTCTATAAATATTTTTTCTAATAATTGGTGTATTGTCACAATATTCGGCTTGGGGGGGTTTTGCTGGTTGATAAATCAGAATTTGCTATCATTTTTATTGTAAAGTTAAGAGGGCGCCACCTGCGGAACCTTGCACACATTTAAAACGGAATAACTTTTTTGAGCCACCCCATATTTAATTTTCAAATGAAATTTCGGATTGTCCAACGTCTTTTACATAAAAAATGTATACTTGGTAAGAGTTGATTTGAGCAGCTGTTTTTGAGATATCTGGATTTTAAAAAATTCACTTCGTAAATGGCCAGGTCTAAATTATTGTAATAATAAAATTGAACACATTTGAAGAGTAGGCAGTGAATTAAAATAAAGTCAATAAAAACTGACTTGGGTCAAATCGAATCTAAAAAACAAGTCAAGACAATAATTGTCCCCTGATTTGGCACCGATGGATTATTTTTTATGGGGAGCTTTGAAACCCCTGGTGTATTCTAGGCCAGTAAATACAGAAGATGATTTAAGGAGACGTATTCAAACTGAAATTGACGCTTTAAGAAATGATGACGGAATGCTCCAAAGTGTTCAATTTAACTTTTTGAGAAGTATTAATCTTTGTACACACGAAAATGGACGTCATTTTGAACATTTTTTGTTAATCATTTTTTTTAAATTAAATTAAATTAAACTTTTGTTGTTGATGAATCTCCTATTCCTATTCCTAATGACTATTTTCACTAGAGAATAAAATTACCAACACATTCATGTACCTACTCCTTTTTTTTTCAAGTTTGTAGTGACGTTATTTTAATTCACCGGCTACGCTTCAAATGTGTTCAATTTCATTCTTACAATAATTTAGACCTGGCCATTTACGAAGTGAATTTTTAAAACCCAGATATCTCAAAAACAGCTGCTCTAATCAACTCTTACCACGTATACATTTTTTATGTAAAAGACGTTGGACAATCCGAATTTTCATTAAAAAATTAAATATGGGGTGGCTCAAAAAAGTTATTCCGTTTTAAATGTGTGCAAGGTTCCGCAGGTGGCGCCCTCTTAACTTTACAATAAAAATGATAGCAAATTCTAATTTCTCAACCAGCAAAACCCCCCCAAGCCGAATATTGTGACAATAAACCAATTATTGAAAGAAATATTTATAAAAAATGAAAATCAAATTGAACTTTTGACACTCTGTATCTCTCAAATCATTCACTTTCGAACTGAGGTAAGTTGAGTTAGATCGTCATATTTACGCCTCAGGAACTTGTGGTAGCTTTTTTTCCGCACCTTTTAGGGACACCCTGTATAAGAGAGAAAATCAGTGAACCTATCAGGGGTAATTAATTCAGTTATTGCTGAAATATCCGCCATGGCATAGTACTATGTGTTGGGGTACCTGTGGGCTAAATGTTACCTCATTTAGGGCGCTTGAAATAGTATTCATAAATGTATTGAAGGTAATTATATCAATGATGAAAAAAATTAAAAAATTAAATAATCTGGCCTGCACTTGGAGATCTTCAATCAGCAACCATTAGCTGCATCACCATGAGGAAGAATCCTGATGCTGGTCTCTGTCTAAGCTGACAGACGAGCTTCTGAAGCAAGATGTAACTTAGACTCGCCAGAGTCTAGGGCTGGTAGGATGAGTGAAGACTCTGCGGAGTCTTGAACCTTGAGAGCGAAGAAAGACTCTGAGGAGTCCTGGACTTGGAGAGCAAACGACATGGAGGAAGACGACATGGAGGAAGACGGCATGGAGCAAGATGGCATGGAGCAAAACGGCATCGAACAGGACTGCATTGAGGAAAACGGCATAAGTCGGCATAAACGGTCAGCTTCAAAGTCCAGGGAGATCATAGCAGGGTGCACAGCAAAATCGACGCGAAGAGGAGCCACCAAGAGGCCCACCGTAGACGACATGACGATCAGTAGGGGTAGCGCCACTCCAGTCCAGCCCCTCCACTCCACTTTTCTCCAAACCACGTGACTCGGCTAGCCAATCAGAGACCAGCATTTGGTTGGAGGCCACGCCCACTAAACACCAGCGCGAAATTCAAATTATTCATACGTCGTCACGTCGCCATCGTGAATAAATAAATTTAAAAAAAGCTGTCACCGCTGGGGGGAAATTGAACCAGGGACCTTTGCATTATGAGGCAGCGTATATACGCACTGTGGTATTCCGACCTCCGTGATATTTCAATTATTTTAATGCTATTCAAAGGGGATATCCATTGCTGGCGCGCGCTTATCTTTGCAACGGATCCATCGAGGTAGAGTGAAGCGAGAGATGCATTCCAGAGATAAGAAACTTCGAGTCGAAAATAATATCCATCGCTGGTGCGCGCTTATCTTTGCAACGGATCTATCGAGGTACAGTGAAGCGAGAGATGCATTCCAGAGATAAGAAACTTCGAGTCGAAAATAATATCCATCGCTGGCGCACGCTTATCTTTGCAACGGATCTGTAGAGGTAGAGCAAAGCGAGAGATGCGTTCTAGAGATAACGACGCGCATTTCATTCCCATTTTTCACTTAACAACGGCTATATACAAGGTGTTTGAGTTGGGTAATAGTTGGGAAAAAAATATAGAGTGAACCCAAAAAGGCGTTATACCTCTCCGACCTACATATAAAGGCTACCCGCTATAACATGATATATACAGGGCGTTTGAGTTGGATAACAGTCAAAAAATATACTGGACGCCTCACCCACTTTTGCGGGATTAGACAGCTGACGTATTACATAAGACATTTGACAGTTAACAAAGGATTGATGACACGACGTGACTAGATGACCTGCAAGTACCGCTACCTAATAATTTAATATACTGGATGTTTGAGTTAGCAATAGCGATAAGAAATAGGGCGTCTCACGGGTACACTCAGCAAAACATACGTATGATAGAGTGTCCGTTTGATATACAGCAATAATAGCAATACAAACTCACATAGGGCACTCATGACCTGACGTGTGACGTATGACAGATGACCAAAAAAAAAACGCTATCATACATCAATACTAGACAAAGCTCTTTGAGGTTATGTTCCATTTCAGACATTCGGTATAGCAAATTTATTTATTCTTCCTATGGTATGTTTTAACTCGTACAGCAATATATAATAATAAAGTGCCACTGAATGATCAAGACCTCTATGTCACTGGATGTTTGAGTTAGCAATAGCGATAAGAAATAGGGCGTCTCACAGGTACACTCAGCAAAACATACGTATGATAGAGTGTCCGTTTGATATACAGCAATAATAGCAATACAAACTCACATAGGGCACTCATGACCTGACGTGTGACGTATGACAGATGACCAAAAACGCTATCATACATCAATACTAGACAAAGCTCTTTGAGGTTATGTTCCATTTCAGACATTCGGTATAGCAAATTTATTTATTCTTCCTATGGTATGTTTTAACTCGTACAGCAATATATAATAATATAGTGCCACTGAATGATCAAGACCTCTATCTCATGTTGACATGTTAATATTGGCAGGGATAATCAACACTTAGGAATATTATACATATGGTGCCCCACTGAAAAAAGGTATTTCTTTTCGAGCCACCCTGTATAACATTGGCATTTTCAGTTCGGAGAAGATTAGAAGGAGCATAATAATCATGTTCGTCTCCCTATTGATCAGTACCAATCAAGATGTTGAAGAGTGAGCAAGTGCTGCTGCTGTTGCTTTCAATCATCGCGTCAGTTTCCGCTACTGGCAATGATACGATAGAATATGCAGGTGCCTTTTTGAAGCGTTTCGGCTACATAAATACAACGGATAATGCTGTCACCGATATAGAATCAGCATTAATGACATTTCAAGAGACATACAATCTCCCTGTGAGTGGATCGTTGAATAACGAAACTCTACGACTGCTGAATAGTCCGCGTTGTTCTGTAGGAGAAAATAATTTCATGATACATTCGAAATGGAACAAAACCAAGTTACGCTGGTATTTTCTTCAAGCTAAAAAGGTGCATCGTGATACAGCCAAGATGGCATTCGATAGGTGGGAGGAGCTATCAAATTTAAAGTTCGAAAATGTGCGAAACCCTAGCAGACAGAAACCTGATATTACCATAACTGTTATTCGAAAAAATCACAATTTCCGAGCAGACTGCCAAGGCACTTCCAAGTGTCCACATAATTTCGACGGCCCTGGAAAAGTTTTAGCTCATGCATATTTCCCAAATGAAAACAACAAATGTGTCGAGATTCATCTTGATGCAGAAGAAAAATGGTATCTTGGAAATAGTACTTCTCCTGATGACCAAACTAATTTATTGATGGTCCTGATTCACGAAATTGGCCATGCTCTTGGGCTGGGGCACAGTGGCGTCAATACAGCTATTATGTATCCTTGGTATCAAGCAAGTCCAGCATCATTCGATATAGATGATAAGAGGGCGATAGAATATTTGTATGGGCAGAAAACTGAAAACTATCAACCAACAACAACCTCAACAACACAGACAACCGAATCCCAAAAACCGATATCCCAGCACACCTCTACCACAGCTTCATCAGTGTCGTCAAATGAACCCCATAACGTAGACGTTACTAGCACAACCTCAAAGCCTCAGATAACTCCAACAAGATTATGCGACATTCAAGTGCCAGACTTTATGTTTCTAGCCACAGCACCCCAGTTTCAAAATTATCGCATGTACGTGGGATACAATAGATTTTTGTGGAAGTTCGATTTGAACGATATGCGAATTCCACCACAGCCAGAGCTGCTTGATGATTATCGTCCTGAAGATTTAAAGTCTTCTCGAGTTTCACATGTTTTCCAAAATTCTGTGGGTAATCTAGTGACATTTATAAATGATAGCATGTATTATGCAGCATCTTTTCCGAATTTTCAAATCCACCAAAACTTTCGTTTTCCTTTGCCTTCTAAAGCAAAAATTAATGCTGTCTTCCAGACAAACAGTGGACAGGCTTATTTGTTATATAACAACGATTCTTACATTACATTTGATGACAATGGAGACATGAGCAACCGTGGGCCACTTAGTCACATCTTCCCAGGAATTCCAGCAGGCATAATATCAGCTTTTCGTTATATCGATGGAAATATATATTTTTTCGATAGAAATACGTACTACAAATATAGTGAATATACTAGACGGGTAGTGAAAGCCGAACCGTTCAGTTGGAGCGTCTTTGGAATATCCTGCCCCAATGATGGATTACTTCATCAATTGAAAACAATGTTAACAAGAATTATATCATTTTACGAATAAACGATTAAATACCATTTTGTTTTATTCCAATTGTCACATGTATGCTGTCTCAGTCACGAGTGTTCAGTATGATGTTCAGGCATGTGTGTTGAAAAATGCATCAATTTTCGAGATATATAATATTAGCATGGAAATGCCGACCTCAACTAAATTGTTCAAATAAATAGTCGATGTTCATTAAAATGTATGTAGACGTTTTGAGGAGTGACTCTCACGATTTTATTGCACTAAATAAAATACCTACTTTGTTTTTCAAAAACCCACCCTTCACACTTCATCAAGCTGTCTCCTCCTCCTTGTACTTTCACAGGTAGCAGCACACTTCAGTGAGACTCGTAGGCTTCTCGTACAGGCAACAACACATCTCATTGCCCTTCTATATGTCTTTTATTCCCCTTCTTGTTATTTCAATGGCATCGTGGCCCTCTTTTGTTGTACAGTGCTGGTTGGAAGTAACTGAAAGTGGTGAAACTGAAACATAATGTGAGTTGCAAGTGTTGTACAAATTCTCGCGAATCAAATAGGCCATCATTTTGGAAGAGGTGGGTGTGCGCATGCGTCACAAAAAAAAAACGTCACTCTATATGAGTGACAGGGCTAAGTGGTAGTATGACAGGCGTCAATGGCGGTGTGAATGGCAGTGTGGCGGTGTGAATGGCAGTGTGGCGGTGTGAATGGCGGTGTGAATAGCGTTGTGGCGGTGTGAATGGCGGTGTGGCGGTGTGAATGGCGGTGTGACGGTGGGAATGACGGTGTGACGGTGGGAATGACGGTGTGACTGTGTGAATGGTGGTGTGAATGGTAGTGTGGAGGTGTGCATGGCTGTGTGAATGGCGGTGTGAATGGTGTGACGGTATGGTTAGTGTCGGGTTTATAAAGATGTCAGTTGTTGTCCTGACTTCATACTGTTAACATCATAGTAGGAAGAAAAATATATTACGTCTTGAGATGTTTGCTTGTCAGCAATGCAACAAGAAATTCAAGTGGGCCTATGGATTGAAGCGGCATATGGATAGTCATGACGAAAAAGTTTTCAATTGTCATTATTGTGTGGACAAATTCACAAGATTGGATAGCATGAAAAAACATTTGGCGAGAAAGCACAAAGGGAACGACCTGGTTAATCCCCAAAACGAATCGATCACCACTGATCAACGAAATGAGTCGAACTCCATTGATAGTGATCACCAATTATTGTCCCAAAGTCAGTCGAATTCTGAGATTGGTCAGCAGTTGAGTCAAAATGATGCTATCACGGATGATCCTTGTGAGAATGAAATCGAAGATAGACATAAAAAAATTGTGGACTTAGCTGAAATTGTGAGAAATAAATATTTGGCGCTTGAACAACTGGCTGACGTTAAAGTACCTATGAAGCGTTCAAATTCAACATGTCTGAAGATGATCAAGCCGAGTAAGGAATCGCGTCCTGTCAAGTATTCATCTCACATTCAGAATGGTCATAAAAGTACTCGGTATTCACCAAGAGATGACAGCAGCTTCGACATTCTGAGGAGAGGTGGAATAATAAGAGGAGGAAGCTCCAGGAAAGCAGATGAAATAAAATTAGAGCATAGATTGTGTAGAGGTCTTTTGGTATTTTAGTTGAAATAAATAGTATTTCTTTGAATCTCGTTTAATTTTTATTAATACTGAACTGAAACATGAAATGGGTACTCAGCAAAGTGTCTGAGGCCTGATAGCATCTAGCAATTGTTGACATCTAATAACAAAATTGATGTCACGATGACAATATTGGTGATCATTATCCTAATGAAAAAATTCCCCTCTGGGTCATTACATTGACACCTATATTCTCAACATATAGAGCAAAACCACATATGCATGCGCATACTTACTTGAGCAATGATTTTCAACGACGCTTGCTTGTCTTCTGTTTAACGGTCAATTGTACATAAATCTGACATGGTTGGCTACTGCTGGCTTGCTGTTCTCTCATCATCATCATGCATCCGATACTTCAACAGCTGGTCCTCCGTTTCACCAATGAGATGTAATCTGAAACTGCAGTAGAGCATGAGACGCAAGGTCTCAGTATGTGTACAAATAAAGTTCATTATAATATGGAAATATTTCAAGGTTTAGATGGAAAAATCCGCCACTGGGGTTGGGACCCAGTCTTGGACAGCTCTTTTCATCCTCCACTAAAACCCCCACTGCTTCAATCTCGGATGAATGAAGAGCAAACCCATCGTTAATCCTTTTGAAAATATTTCCACAATAATGATATTATTCAGATCATATATGTATGTATAAATGGAAAACTAGTTGGTTTTGCGAAAATGCAACAACAACAAGAAAAGTAGAGGATTGAGCCTCAAATGCCAAAATGGGATATTTTCAGGCAGATTTCAATAGCAGAGCTCAAAGGTGTTGGATGAATCAACAATTAGAGTTGTTATTTTTCTAGTTGTGAAAAAATGTCGCTGTTTGCCGATTTGGTTAAGCATATCGCATCCATTTTGGGGCTTCTAACTCCGAATTATAATGAGAAAGTTGCACAGGAAGGAATACGAGAATGCGGAAAAGGAATAAAGCGGCTCAACAGGGCTTTGAAGAATTCAGCAAATTTCGGTGAAAAGCAACATCTGGAGGCTTGCCTACGAAATTTGAAAACTCTTCGGAACCAGATGAAAGCACTTCAAAAGAAGGGGGCTGGAATTACGACGAGAAAGGAAACTGCTTGGTACAGAGTTCGTTGGGAAGACTTCCAATCTGCTTTTAATAGTAGGATTCGGACTGGAGTAATCTCAAACATGAAGCATAAGGATCCTGCTGCTTTCTTGACCGATTGCAGAGCTCTATTCAGAATACATGTCAAGGATTATACTGGGTAATCAGCAAATTTGGGGAAGGGCTTAGATGGGTGTTTTTCCATCAGGTATGAGAATAGAATCAACAAAAATTAGTGTTCCCAAATGCAAAAGGCCTGGGGCACCAAAATACCAATCTTGAGTGTAAGTGGTTTAATCAAGTGAAAATAATTTGTGTTGCATTGTAAGACGTATTTGTGACAGTTCTTTCATTCCAAATGTAACCTTCTGATTTTTATGTGAATTGATCTGAACACACATCAGGTATTTATACATTTTAGTTAATGTAAATATACATTGTCATTAAATTAGTTTTTTTTCTCAAAGGCGTTGAAACATGGTTTAGTGCTGAAACAAATACATCTGGAGAGTGGTCTGGTCGCACAATAATAGAAATATAACCATCACATGTTTCTCCCGAGCCGTCACAAAAACGGAAATGGAACAGAGCGTTCCAGTCGGATCGACGCCCAACTAGGAAGTAAGTTACGCTGAAAAAAGCAGAGTCCTAAGAACTCGAAACCAGTCTGTAGGTGTCTGGAGCGTGGCCTGGCTAGGTCAAAATCAATAGGCATTCAGGAAAGAAACACTTGTATCGGTATTCGTTTATACGAGTCGATACACAGATTTCAGGAGAATATAATCTACTGTTGGGGCATTAGCCAGGAAAGTAGTTGTTTTTTCTCCCGAAATCTACCATTGTTGTTCATTTATGAACACTGTGTGGAAACGACCCCAACTTTTGATTTTTTTTTGTAACATAAGATCGTTCCAGAAGATAAAGAAGATGTCAAAATTGAAAAATAAATGAAAATAGTATCATTAATTATTATTATTTATGAATAAAAACATAGTACACATACCTGTTACGATGTTACCTGGACTTTATCAACTTCAAGCCACTGAACCGCTCTTGTTTGAACCACCTGGTCGTACCATTTGTTTAACCCCAAAACTCTTGATGATGTTGATCTCAGTAGTACTCCACAGCATAAACTATAAAGTCGAAAGGGAAAAGTTACCTGTTGAGGATGTCATAAAGCAAGCTGTACAATGAAAACTCAAATCGTCAAAGACACGAGCATAATGTGCGTATTCAATAATCTCAAATGTCTATTTATAGATTTTCCTCATTTTGAGGATATAGAAACTTTGGAAATCATCGAGAAATATGTATCTAACCTGTACGGAAACGAACTGATTTTGAAAACAATAAAAAAAAAAAGATTGAAACGTATATATATATACCTTTACTCCTCACAACAACTATCAACATAGGCTGTGGGGAGGTGTGGCACAATATTGTACTGAATACGTCCACTAGTGAATGAATAATCATCGTCCACAGTCTCAAAGATGTCTTCACACACGAAAAAATTATGTCCCCAGCATAGCACACCGTCACGGTAAAATTGAAGTTGTAACACATCACCTTCGTCATAATTGTCACCTAGGGTAACTTTTTCGTATTTTTCACATAATATATCGTTCCTTATACAAAACAATCATGTTTACATGGTATATACACTCAATTACCACAAAATGACCTTGACACGTGTCGAAGCACTGCGTAGTTTGCATTACCTTTTTCTCCAAAATAATGGACTCGTCCAAACGTGATTAGAGCTGCTCATCCTACCCCCTCCACTCCTATTCACCGATAATGAACTCATCCTAGGTGTGGCGAATACCCTAATAGCAATGATGATCCAACTTCAT